ATCAACAAATATTTAAATGCCTGCCATGTGCCTGCCACTGTAATAGGCTCTGGGAATACAAGTATAAATAATTCAATAATTCATACTTGTCTTGAGCTTATATTCTAATTGGAGAAGGTAAAAGATATGGGGATGATATGTAAAACATGCAAAATATGTAAGTATATAAAGTGAATACAAATAAATATATTCAAAATTGTTCAATGTAAGGTAGTGTGAAAGGGAGGGCAGTAGCATTTGGGGGAATCAGGAAAGACTTCATGTAGAAGATGGTGTCTCAGCTACATCTTTATGAGGCAGAGATAAGGTAGGGCATCCTGGGCACAGAAAACAGACAGTGCAAAGGCATGGAGATGGGAAATAGAGTATCATATGTGAGAAACTGAGAGAGAGCCAGTTTGGCTAGATTGTGGAGTAAAGAAAGAAGAATAATGTCCAAAGAGTCTGAAAAGATATGTTAAGGTTAGATTGTATAGAACTGTACACTAAACGAAGGAGTTTGTATTTTTTTCTATATGTAATTGTAAACCATTGGTCGAATAAGGAAATCACATAAACAGACCTGCATTTAATGAAAACAGCTTTGGTAATAGCATAAGGGATGAACTAGAGAGGGGATGAACTTGAGGCAGAGAGACCAATTAGAAGATTGTTACAATTATCAGTCATGCTGGCTATTATCCAAACCATTAATGTTAAAGTTCTCATCTATATATTGAATCAGGATCAATGGATTCCATCCCAAAAGGTCCAGTTCAATGGCTCATGATGACATGTTGGTACCTGTGGGTTCTTAGAGGCTGTGCCAGTGGCTCTCAAAACCATAATGGGCTAATAAAGTTTTGTACAGGGACCCAGAGGATTACATTATGTTTCTTTTGGGGACCAGGTTGACTACATATACATACATACATACATACATACATATATATATATATATATATATGCTCACCTTCAGGAGGCTGGCTGTTAGATGATTAACTCTTTGGCCATGAGACCAAGAAAAAACACATGGAAACTTCTGCACTGATAAAATCCAAATTGGAAAAAAAGAAAACATGGAGTGCTAAGAATCACGCAATTTTTAGACAATCTATAAACATTAATTTAGTCACTGGTATTCTAAATGTGAAATTCTTGTTCAGTGACCAGTGAGTTGATATAACATTGGAGGAATTGAGTCATACCAATCTTAATTTTCTCACTATAAACATAATGAGCAGATATAAGGAAGCTACAGTGAAGTGGAAGGGTGGGTGATAGGTTCTCCATGGAGAGGCAGGTAAAGGAGTTGATGGGATCAGCTTTATCATATACCCGAAGGCCTCCAAGATTAGCTGTAAAGTCATATGTTTGATATTCATAGCCCTTGATAATCTGTCCCCTTCCTACCTTTTCAGTCTTCTAACACTTCGCTCTCTTTAATGAACTCTGTGAGCCTGCGCCTCTAGGCTCCTGGCTCCGACTCCCAACTCTATGTATGTTCACTGGCTGATCCCCCCCCCCCCCCCCGACCCATGCCTGTGACTCTGTCCCTCCTCACTTCTGCCTCTGCTTCCTGGCTTGCTGGGTTTTCTTCAAGTCTTAGCTAAAATCCCTCCTTCTGCAAAAAGCTTTTTCCAACCTCCCTTCATGATAGTGCCTTCCTTCTGAGATTATTTCCAGCTTACCCTATGCAGATACATTTTATACAGCGCTATTTACATGTTTTCTCTCCCCGCCCCCATTAGTTTGTGAGTGCTTTGAGGGCAGAATCTGTTTTGACAATTTTTTTTTATACCCAGCACTTAGCATAGTGCCTGGAACATAATAGGTGCTTACTAAATGCTTGTTGACTTGACTAAGGTAATGAGAAACATCATTCCATGAAAGTGCTTGGCATGAGCATGAGCATAAAGATAACCATAAGGATAATTACAATGTTTGAGGATTTCCCAAACTAATTTTAACTTAGTTACTACTTTGTGGAATTGGGCACTGGGAAAGGAAAAAAAAGTGTATTGGAAAATATCTTTCAGATATAAGAAATGAAAGATTTCAAAGGTTTATTGACAAAACAGAATACTCATGTCATTATAACATTATAATGCAAATATTTTCTTCAATAAGACTCATAAGATTCCAGGCATTGCAAGAACCAAGCATCATTACTAAAAAAAAAAATTGATTATATCTTAAGGGACGTGAAATAACTAATTATGGATGTGGAAATCATTTCTAAAATAGCTCATTGACTTGCTATGGCAGACATCAAAATTAACAGTAAATTAGAAGAAAAGATAAAAATGAGAAGATGTATCCTGTAATTATAACAGCTTCAACCGTTCTTATTCAAAGAAGCAATGATGCTCAAAAGAGTCTAGAAATCATTTCAGCCAGCCCAAAGTAATACTTTAACTCCTAACCAGCCAAAATGAAAAAGTGGCCAAGAGCAGCACTGCATATAATTCAGTCATTAGCAAAATCTTATGGAGGTGCCTAGAGAACAAGTGTGAGAAGCTTCATCTCCCAAAACTGGAAATTTTCAAGAAGCATAGCTTGAGAGTCGATTAAACCAGGCTATCCCTAAAATATTCAAAGCTTAAACTGAAAAGGGGATAACAAGCAGAGAGAAAACAGAACAGATACAATAGCATTTTTTTTGTTTGTTAAAATTTAGGCAATTGGGGTTAAATGACTTGCCCAGAGTCACACAGCTAGTAAGTGTCAAGTGTTTGGTCTGAGGCCAGATTTGAACTCAGGTCCTTCTGACGTCAGGACTCTATCCACTGCGCCACCTAGCTGCCCCAATAGTATTTGTTTAAAAATATTTCCTGTCTCTTTTACATAGTTGCACATATATAACCTAATATCAAATTGCTTACCATCTTAGGGAAGGGGAAGGGGAGAAAGCGAAGGAGAAAATTTGTAGCTCAAAAAAATTTTTAAATGAATGTTAAAAATTGTCTTTGCATGTAATTGGAAAAATATGAAATACTATTTAAAAATGAATAAATAATATTTCCTTATCAGTGGTAGTAGAATCATAACATATGGACTCTAAATCTCATTCCCAGATAGGCTATATAAGGAAGCAGAAAAAAACCATTCACAGTGAAGGTGAAAATAGGAGGCTAGTCTAGAAAAAACAAAACAAAACAAAGCTAGTCTGAGAGTCGATTTGAACTCAGGTCTCCCTGACTCCAGGCCTAAACACTCTATCCACTTCTGCCACCTACATTCTCCCCTAGTCAGATCAAACAGTCAACCAATTCATAAACATTTACTAAGTACCTACTATTATCTTGCTTATGTGCTCAGCACTGTGCTAAGTGCTAGGGATATAAAGAGGTAAAAGATAGTCCCTGACCTCAAAATCACACTTGGATGCATGTGCTCAGATCCTCAAAAATGTGAGGAAGGATGCTGGTAAAATGGAGAGTGACCAGAGGGCAGCCACCAGGGTGATCAAGTGTTTCAAGATCCTGTCCTAAGAAGAACAGTTGAAAGAACCGGCAATATTTCACCAGAAAAAAAGAGCTAACAGTGGGAGGTATGATAGCTATCTCCAAGTCTCTGAAGGATTCTGATGTGGAAGAGAGATCAGATCTGTTCTGCTTGGCCCCAGAGGACACAACTAGTATCTGTGAAAAGAAATCAGAGGCAAGTTTCAGTTTGATGGAAAGAAAAACTTCCTAATGATTAGAACTGTCCAAAATTACAATGAACTGAACTGACTCAGGAACTTAGGAATGCTGTACAGGCAGATTCTTGATCAGATACGGGTTGGAGTAAGTGCTATCTAAGATCTCTTCCAACCCTGAGATACTATGCCTCTGTGATTTTTCAAGGAAGCCTTAAGGTCAGTGCCTTTAAGAGGTATTGGCTGAGACTTTCTCTGAAAGTTTTTTAAGAACCCACACCATCATATAAAAGCACACGCACACACAATACAACACATACACACATACAACACACACAAAATCCTTTTAAATATGAAGAAGAGAAATTAAGTTATTGTCAATTCAATGTTTAATGTTTGTTATATGGCTGGCATATCACATTTAGATCAAATTTGCTTATATACGGTGGGCATACTAATTTTGTTAGACCTAAAGAAAATCTTGAAATTTTGTTTTTGATCATCTTTTAATTATATCTATTTATGCCATATTATTATACACAACTATAATTGATTCAATATTGTGTATTTGGTCAGAAGTAATCATTAGATTTTAACTGCTCTCTCTTGGTTCTCTTCCTAATCATCAGACCATGACTAGTATGTCAGATGGATTGTCAGGATTGTCCTAGAAACTGAAAGTGAATGTCAGAAGTCTATTGTGATAAATAAGACCAAGCAGGGTCAGACAGTGATACTGGCATTGAGGTGTATGGTCAGATAAATCTACTAAAAATAGATTATATAATTCTAATTGGTTTCATTCTCTAATTCTCGCTCTTATTCACCTCACAAAGCTGATCAGTGGTAAAATCACGTCAATTCCTTCTGTATGACATCTTTCACATATATTGTCTTTTCTCTGCTCACAAGACCACTCCCCTCCCTTTAGACCCTCATCACCCTTTGTTTGAACCATTGCAATAGCCCCCTGATTGTTCTCCCTCATCAAGTCACACCCCAGTCCAATACATTCTTCTACTTAGCTGCCAAAATGATTTTCCAATTTCATCAGGAGACTCACTCTTCTTTTCACAAAAATACACTCTTTGCCCCGGGATAGCCTATGCAAAGGCCCTAGAGTGAAAGATGGAATGGTAAGTACGGGAAACAGCAAGTAGACTTGTTTAGCCAGAACCTTAGAATGCCCAAAGGAGAAAAAAAGCCATCAAGTTCTTTCTTCTGGCTACGGTTAAAGTTTCTGCCTTACTCAATAATCTCAAAATATCTTGAATATCTTTGATCTACTCAATTGTACCCTTTCTCTTGCATCTTCTTCCCTGAACCTTTGCTTATTTATTTAAATAATTTTAATAACTCCCTCTTAACTGTCTTTCAGACTACTGAAAGGATGCCCTGGGTTTGTGTTTACTCCTCGTTCAAGAGAAGAACTGCCTCCCAACTTCCCCAAGGAAATTCCTGGAATTTGTCATTTCCTGGATGCTTACATACAAGGAGCAAATCCAAAGGCGTGCTTCCCAAAAAGAGAGATTGAAGATGGCAATGCTAACTTTCTGGGCAAAGCATCAGGCATTGATTAAGCTGTATCTTCACCAATTCTATCAATATTCGGGGGTTTGAGTCCAGTGAGGATGTATGAAGCCTTGGAAAGCACTTTAGGATTGCAGATGCCTGAAAGCCAGTATTACTGATTCAGGAGCAAGGTCCCCTAAGACTTGTTATTTCTCTTTTAAATGACAGACTATATTTACTGAAATAATATTTCAACTCCTCTATTTTAATATTATACTTCTTGAGGTATCTTTTCTTTTCTGTGACAGATGATATTATGTAAGTCACTTCAAATCAACCTGTACTAAGAATTCTAGACCCACTGTACATAACATCAGAAAAATTGAATGTATTGTACCAAGAGACAGATTTGCCTGTAGTACTGTTCCTTGCTTGAGTGCCAGTCATACTTAAGATGCAATAGTCACAGTATTGCTAAGAACAAAGTCACAAGAAGTTGTCCCTATTATAAATTTTTAAAATTCACTGCTTGTTATTATCTAGCCTCTGACACTTATAAGCCATGTAACTCTGGGCAAGTCACTTGACTTCCTAAGGTTGTTCTGAGGTTAAAATGTGATATTTGTAAAGCACTTTGGAAAGCTTAGCATGGTATATAAATGCCAGCTATTATTATTATTATGTGTTTTTGTTGTGGCTGCCTATATATAGCAAAATAGGCCAAGTATTTTTTTTCTGTCAAGTCCTCTTATTTTAAGAAAATAAGAAAGTATGGGTCGCATGTTATATAATCACAAGCTAGATTCAAAGTAACACTGAAGTATTATTTTAATTCATGAAGTTTTTTTAAAAAAAACATAATTTTTGATGGTAGCATGTATCATAGCAATAAATATTATTTTCTTTTCATGTATTCTTCATGTTTAAGCATGATAAAACCTTTCTATAACACCCAGACATATAAGCAAAGTATCCAGGTAAACATAGAGGATATAAATTTCCATTCCTAGGGATTGTATTACTTATTGTAATGTAATACTCTTGATTTGATCACCACAGTTTAAGCAGAAATGAAATAAGGTTGAAGGGAGATAGATACTAGACCTGTGATTTCACTGATATAGGGAATGATCAGATGGGAAGCTCCTTACTAGTAAAGATTGGTATCTTGTGTCCAACTTATGTTCTTAGAGTTTCCCAGAATGCTAGGTTAAGCAACTGATCCAGAGTTACATAACTAGTACATGTCAGAGACCTAACTTAAACCCAGGTCTTTCTGAGTCTAATGCCAGCTGTCTCTACTATACCATCTATTATACCACACTGCCTCTTGGGGTTAAAGAGAGAACCCAAAAAAGGGAACTCACTATGCAGTTATACATGAGAGCAGTGCTACTTGGTCCTGAATCAGTAGAAACTGTCTATTGGCTTTTTAAACCAATAGAAGTACTTCTAGGAAAAGGCTAAGCTACATGACTAGGAGATGTTAGGTTTGTATTTTTTAATTTGTTTATTTTTTTTAATTAAAGAGACCATTTTACAGATATGTACATGTATTCAGAAAAGGATTATGAATCTGCTATACTCTTCAGTGCTTGGTGGATACTAGCAAAGAAAGTGATCTGTTGTGTAAAATGTCTTAGATTTTTAGGGGTAGCAGGGTTCTTTGAGTCCAATTTCTTCATTCTACAGATGAGGAAATTAAATTCCTAACAAAAGGATGTTTTTCCAAAATTACTTCGGCCACAAGATGCAGAGCCAAGGCTAGGTCTACTTGACTCCTCATCCATTGTGTTGTGTGTTGACATCTGGATTCAACACTTTGATTTTTGCTTTCAGTGTTGGGGTTTCAAGTCATCATCCTTATAATTACTTGAAAAATCTGGTAGTATGAGCATCATTTCTAAAATAACACAATGCCCAAGCAAGAGCATGATGCAAAGAACAAGTTTTAAAATTTTATATATATGTATATATGTTATATATATATGTACAAGTGACAAATGTTTAACAGAAAATCCTAAACTGGATTGGATGCAGTCAAAATGGTTCTGTGTGCAAGTTTTTAAATACTTCCATTGTTTGTCACCTGTTCCATTCTAACAGCGGGATGAAAAATTTACTCTTGGTTGGCCTGGTTTATCCTCAGTATACCATTTAGTACTTTACTACGACTTACTCTTCTAGGTCATAAACAGTACCCCTAGGTATCTAGCCTCTTACCGGTCATTTTGGCACTAAAGGGTATATGAGCTTCATTCTGTTACAGTCTTGAAATCATATTAATATTCTATATAGACTGCAGTATAAGTGAAGGATTGAAGACCCTTTTCTTTCTAGAGCTGAGCCCTTATTATAAAGGGGGAAAGAGAAACAGAAAAGAAAGAAAAGGAATACATAAAAGAAAAATGGTCTCATTCCCACAAAAAATCTTACTTCCAACCCACATTTAAATCCCATGTACTTATATTCTTCATTATTCTGGAAAGATTGAAGTCTTTTCTGGAGTGAGAAGAGTGCTAGGTAGAATTATAAATAAGGAAGGCAAAAAAAAACAGCCTATTCTTTTGAGGAGCTCACAGCCTAATGAGGAAGACAGTATGTAAGCAACCATGTACAAACAAAACAAAGACAGGACTAAATTGAGAGTGATCTCAGAAGGAAGCCAATAAGATTCAGGAGGCCTGGGGAAAAGCTTTTTGCAGAACATAAGACTTGAAGGAAATCAAGGAAGCTAGCACTTTAAAATTAGCTATATGCTGTCCTCACAATCATGTGATGAAGCGAGCTATTCCAAGATTGTTATTCCCCTTTAACAGCTGAGCAAGCTGAGGCTAGGAGAGGTTGTGAGTTGCCCAGGTTCACACAGTAAATGTTCAAGCCAGGATTCAAATCTAAGCCCCCAATCTTTGTCCAGGACATACCACACTGCATCTCTAACATTAATGTTAGAGGGACTATCTCCCTGGTGTGCTCATCAACATTGTTGATGGGATCCTGACTTTTCCATAAAAGACATGGTATTAGAAGTGTGCTTTCTTGGTATTTTTCCACCCTTGAAGAAGTATTCTTTCAAAAATCAGAAAAAAAGAAAAATTTTCCTTAGGATTAAAATAGAAAGAACTCTGACATAAACATGACCAGAGAAGACCCCTTTTTGCAGAGAAAACTCTTATGTTCCAGAGAAAGAATTCTCAAATAGAAACCAGGATGTATAATTTCTTTATTACACAATAAAGAATTCTGAATAAAGGGGCATTGACTTCATTAAGAATAGCTATGGAAACCAAAGTATGTAATTCCCATTCTATTTGGAGATAATTTTTACTCAATAAAAATAACATTGTACTTTGTGACTTCTAGCTAGCAAGAAAAGAAAGTTCATGTCCCCAAAACCTATGAGAAATATGGCATCTGGGCTAAAACCTATTAGTGTCTTTTTGTTCAAATCAACTTCATTTTAGACACATTATAATTTTTATGTAAGTGCATATTTTTTTTTCTTCATACTTCATCAGTTAGTGAGTTAAATTCAGATTTTCTGACTGAGGGTTGGGAATGAGGCTCTGCTGTCATTAGACATTTTAAATTTTATTTGATATATACGCAACATAACTGTAAGTGACAAAAATAGATATTCCAATCTGATGTTTATTTAGAATGAAATGGCTTGAAACCTACCTATTTTGAAGAGAATCTTGAAAACAGCTATCTGAAGAAATGAACTGAGATAAATCCAATTTATTAGTTGTTTTGGTTGGGTTTTGATCTAGACCTGTGATTTCATTGTCATTATACACTCTCTAAATTTGTAGATTCCTAGTTTTGATGTTTTGTTTGTTTGTTTTGGGCTAGGCAATGAGACTTGCCCAGGGTCACACATCTAGTAAGTGGCAAGTATCTGAAGCTGGATTTCAACTGAGGTCCTCCTGACTCCAGGGCCCATGCATGCCACCTAGCTGCCCCTCTTAGTTTTGATTTTTGAGTCAGAAAGATACTTTCTTCTCAGCTTTTTTGTGTAAAGTAATTCATAGAGATTCATATGCCAAGACTCGAGTTTTTATTTACAGCAAATACTTCCCTCTTCTATCCTATCTGGTTGATGATTGTTACTGCAGATGGTATATTTCTTTTGATTTAATGGTTTTTCTAAACTTCAATTAATTGAAAAAGGAAAACAAATGTTAAACTTTATGTTGAAAATTTGCATGATGTTTATTATAATGATATATCATAGATAAAGAGGAATTACTTTCACTATTACCTTCAGCAAATTGTTTATACCTGATTTTTGCTTCTGGCAAGTTGCAAAGCCTAACAAAATGTTATCCAAGATTTTTGGGAGCTTCCTTGGTGTGCTGCCGTATAAATATTGTAATGGAACTATTTAAAACATAATTAAAATATATATATATAAAAGAAAATTAGTCTTTTTGTTGCAAAAGGAACATCTGATTCATATAAAAGGAATATTATTCAAATTATGCAGATATATCAGTCCTTCCCTCTTCTGGATCATTTGTTAAAAACACGAAATTCTTTAAGATAGTGATGGAGAAGACTGCCATTTACAAGAGCACTCAGCACAGATCTGGCATATTTAATAAATACTTGTTGACTTGGCTTTGGATCATGGGTAATTTTACCCATGCTTGGCATATGTAATTGCATTTAATGATAACTAATATTATTGCCTCCTTTGTGATACATAATAGAGGGAACATTTTCCCTCTCTACCCCCTAACTTCAAAAAAGGTATAGATATCTTCTGATTGCTTCTTATTGTCCAGGAGGACTCTTTTAATTGGCCATTAAGCTGGAATTCCATGGATATACCAAATTCCTGCAGAGCTCAGAGTCATTTTTCTACTTCAAGGCCAGCAGGAAAAAGAGGACTGAGAGAGAGATTGCCTCTTTAGTATAGTCACGGATCAGCCAACTAAAAGAGTTCTCTCATACCTAGTAGGAAGCAGTCAAAGGATATTTGTGCCTGCTCTGAAGTATGTGTGTGTGTGTATGTGTGTGTTGGGAGGAATCCATCCTCAGGGGAGTGCTGCACTACAAAGGGGATAAAACAGCTTCTCTTCAGACAAGTCATACAACTTTCAAGGATCCAGGGTCACATCTACTCTATGTTACAGTATCAGGATGATACTTTGTGAAAGGGCTATTCTTACCTCTCTTACAGATATAAAACAAGTATACCTCTATTAGGCAATTGTCCTATAGAAAATGTACTTATGCTAAAGATAAGTGAATTTCATTCTACTGGGCTAGGTGCTTGAGTTAGAAAGACAAAAATAAATGTACTTTTGCTTATGGAGCTTAATGATTCTTTTTATAAAAAGAATCCTTTACTTTGTAGAATGATCTCAATAGGATTCTTTAGATAGTGATTTTGTTATGACATCTAAAATATGATTTACTAGCCAGTGAATGTTTCTTGAGAAGTAGTGTGATATAATGCAAAACACAATTGGTTCATATTCAGGAAACCCAGATTCTAACCGTTCTCCTGTACATAACTTATAAAGTGGTTTCTGGATAAGTCGCAACTTCTCTGTGTCTCATTTTCTGA